CTATTTATGTGAACGTAACGAGCACGGCCAAGGGTATTTATATGAATATAATGAACATAGCCAAAGGTATTTATGTTAACGTAACGACTCGGCTACTCAATTTTTCTTCCTCGGCCTTTTACCAAACCTTTATGTCCATAATACATATTTTTTGTATTCACTAGAAAATCAAATCCAAATGTGTATAACACGCTTTACTAAATCATTTAACTAGCTTAAAGCCTCACTCCCTGTGGAATTTTAAGCTAGCTCCTGTAGAAGGCTAAGTGGGCTTCCATGTCAAAACGAAAGGGACCTCTGGTCCACCTTAAAAAACAGTAATAATAATTTGTGAGAAATAAATCTGAATTCTTCAATTCACTCTATGGAACTCACTTCAACTCCGATTCGGGTTATAAGTCCAATTTCGACCAAGAGACCGATTTCGTTCCGAAACTTCGATTTAGGCTGAAATTCCAATTCAGGTCGAAAAATGAGTTCATCAAATGACAAAATCCCTGAAACTTGAAAACTTAACATCACAAAAACCTTTCACTTTAATTCCTTGACATTTTGAAGAAATAAAATTGATTTTCTCATTTCACAAAGTTTTGGAGATATTTTAAACTGAATCTATATTTTTTTTAAAATTCGCAGTTATTGTGTTACTTCGAATTCAATGTCAGTTAAAAACTTTTAAAATCATTAATTTTTTCATCTACATATTTAATTCTGAAAATGTGTGTGTGTATGTAGTTTTTGTTTAGTTTTCAAATTTCCCAAATAAATCACTTTTATTATATGTTATGTGCCATCGTCCCAAGAGGAACGATTATACTTCCGAAACATTAAAGTTTTTGTGTAGCGATGTAAAAAATGTAACATGTTTTTTATTGTAATCTATTATAATAAATTGTTATACGATGTACTTATATTTGAATTTTGTTCTAGCGTTCCAAACAAAATGCTAAGATGCCTATAAAACCTGGTCTACCATACTGACTACACACAGTTCTTGGTAATTTTATATTTGATATTTTATATACAATGTTCATGTCAAGAGTGGCGGGAAAAGAGTCACAAAGAATTTATTTCAATTTCAAACAAACTATATGGTTTCTCCTTCAAAGTAATCTCCCCTTGAGTCTTATTCACTTTTCCATTTTTTTCTGCCACCCTTCCATGCACTTTTGGAAGAATTCTTTTTGGATGCCACTCAGCACCATTGTTAGGGCTCTCTTGATGGCCTCTACACCTTCAAAAAGGGTCCCCTTGATGCTCCCCACTTGACCTTTGGGAAAAGAAAGAATTGACACGAAGTTGAATAGGGAGCTTGTTCCATTATGGCGATGTTCCAGGAACTGCTGGATGGTCAGGGCGTTGCGAACAGGTGTATTGTCGTGCTGAAGCAACCACAATTTGTTCTGTCACAAAAGCATGTGAAAAAAATGGAATGGTTGCAGAAAGCTAAGATTACAGTCATATACTTCCAATATATCATGTTAGAGATAGGGCACCTCGAGGTGGTGTAATGGTTAGCAAGCTTGTCTCGCTAGAACAATTACGACTGAGTATTGAGTTCGATCCTCACTGGGTGCTCCTTACTTTCGGCCAAGGCCGAAAGTAAGGAGCACCCAGTGGTTGCCACATCTAAGCTACGCTTGGAAAATCACTATCATGTTAGAGATATGCCTCTTTCGCCCATAGCTCACACGGCACGGCAAGTCTTGTTACTTTTCAGACAGACCTTGCATAAGTTCCACTTGAAGTCTAAGGTGAATTAAAGTTTCAATAGAGGCTCAAGCAAGCTGACTTATTGATAACTGAACTCTTCATCCTGACTGGAATAAATTCAAGGTCTGCCTGGTGACAATGAAACGTTATGATCTTCGTTGATATTAAAATTACACTGATAAATGGAGCAAATTAATGAATGAGAGTTACTGCTATATGTTAACGATTTATTGCATTATAAAAGCGTCAATGTTAAGTTGCGGCACGAACAGCCAACCAGCGTTAACCGGATCAAGGAACTATCGGTCTATAGACCGATAACTTCCGGCGTTGTACTCTATATTTGTTCCGTGTCCTTTCAAGACATGAATGATCATGGCCATCCACAACTTCTCCTATATAGTCCTTAATAAGGTATTTCATTTGCGGTCTCTCCTAATCCCTATTCTGCAACCATTTACACATGTCCGTTAGATACGTTATTCGCTGCTTCCCTCTGTCTCTCTTGCCTTCAGTATTCCCTGTGAGTATCAAATTCTCCAAGCTTTCTTTCTTCATTCTGTGCGCGAGAAGTTTCGATTGTCTCTTTCTAATTATAATTAGGAGAGACCAGTTGCCATTGGGGGGGGGGAGAAGAAGAGGATTCACACCTTTTCCAAGGGTCAGTCAGTTATGTGCCCTGCGTGATAAACGCTTAGGCGATCATGTATCTTTCGATACATATCTGACGCGGCAGACTTTTTTCCCGCAGTAAGTTGCCATTTCTTTCTGCGGTAGACCAGTTGCTATCCAAGGCTAAAGAACCAGGTCTGTCCTGCTATTTACCCATAGCTGGGGGAAGAAGAAGAGGATTCATACCTTTCGTAAGGGCATTAGCGTGTAAGTGAATGCAATGGACTCGACTGGAATTTGAACTCGGTTCTCCGATTCCTCAATCCGAGCCGCTCTCTATTACTCCTCCTTACTACTCTTTTAAAATTAAAGCTCACCTCTTGAAATCCTTAAATACATACGGCTCTCTTTTGCAATCGATCCCGAGTAGAATCGCAGCTCTACGACACGCGCCCTAACAAGTTAGTTGTTTATTTATTTTTATGTGTGTGTGGGGGGGGGAGATGAGTCTTTTATTCTTATAAATGTGTAAACCCTACGTGAGAGTCCATTGTTACGTACAGAGACCCAAAACAATAGTCTGACAGTTCATTATGCTGTGTTGCGTGTCATTTCTGGCTTCTCGTGGTTTAACCGCGATTTTTCAGACCAAAGCTCAGACTCACTCACGCCATTAACAATTCACCATTTTCTTAGATTTCTTTTCCTACCTATGTTTCGTGATTGGAAAGATACAGTAGTAGTAGTAGTACTACTACTACTAGTAGTAGTAGCGTCATTATTTCTTGGAGGAAACGAGAGGGCGTGCAGTCAGAAAGGACGAACCTCAACAGGTCGTCCAGAATCTTGCTATTTCAACGCGGAGTTTTGTCTTTGGACGCCAGGGAAGCTGCGGAACGGAAAAGCATCTTCATCCTTCCGTCACTGCCACCGTTCTGTCTTCGTGTGTGTGCGTTTTTTGGGTTTTTTTTTCTTATATTAAACATTAAACAGACAATTCATGACTCCCCAAATTTTACATCCTCTGGGTTCAAACCAGATCGTTAGAATTCTTACTAGCACTTTACAATTTTCGTTTACCCACGGATTGTGCAACAACTATAAAGAGATATTTTATCGCTAAATTTACTCCATTCCTTTGTTGTTGGTATCAATATTTTCTTGTCTTTGTACCTCTTAATAAACGTTATCTTGTTTATTATCTTTCCTAAACTCTGTTCTTCCTTGAAGCTCTCTATTTTCGTCTGTGTTGTTTTCTTCTCTCTCTCTTGGCTTCAGTCTCGTCCGTATCAAATTTTTCAAGCTCTCTTTCCTCCTTACGTGCCATGAAATTATATGTTTCCTTTTTGCTTCCATTTTCTATCGTCGTTGCTCGCATGCTCAGCCCATGGTATTCTCAACATCTTTCTTTGGAACCAATATTCAGGGTGCTTCAATTCTCTCCTTCATCTCTGAAGAGATTGTCGAGTATACATTGCCTTATAAGAGGACTGATATAGCGTAACAGTTCAGTACTCAGTTCTTGGTTTCTAACGAAATCTTCATGTTTCTTAATACTTTGCTAAGCTTTTGTAAGGCATCTTTCGCTATCTCAAAGTGCCTTCGGATTTTAGTGTCGTACTTTCCTCTTTTCAAAGATTTTTAAAGTTTTGTACTTGTATGATTTTGCAGTCTCTAATTTTTAATTTGTATATTGAGCTATTCCTTTTGAAAGCAACAGTCGATTCCTTCTTCTTGCAGTTGATGTTAGTCCTTTATTCTTGCGTTCCTTCACTACAGTATTTAGTATTTGTTGTAATTTTCTTTCAGTGTCAACGCTGTGTGTCATCTGCATGTCTCACGTTGTTAAGAAGATGGTCGCCATTGATGAATCCAGCTAGGATTTCTAATTCTCTCAGAATCACCTCACTGTATATGTAGAATAAATCCGGCGAGAAGATACACCTTCGTCTTACACCCCTATATATTTTTGTATATTTACTGAATTCATTTTCTATCCGTATGCAGGCGGTTGGCTGCCTGTATAGGTTCTGGATTATTCTAATATCCTTCGTAAATATGACAATAATATATATATATATATATATATATATATATATATATATATATATATATATATATATAAATAAATAAAAAGACAGAACAGCAAGATATATAATCCGGTGTTCTTATAGATATTTTTATTTTTACCAAATAGTGCTCAATGTAAATTTACAGAGCATTAATATTATAAATTAATTGATTTAAAATATGGTTTTTTCGCTACACAGTTCTAACCATGTTTCAAAAATGGAAGCTAAAAGCCACGAATTTAATTTTGTGATTAAATTAGACATTAGTTCCATTTCATCCTCAAGTGAATTTTTCGCTTGAATGGAACTAATGTCTTTAATTTAATCACAAAATTAAATTCGTGGCTTTTAGCTTCCATTTTTGAAACATGGTTAGAACTGTGTAGCGAAAAAAAACATATTTTAAATCAATTAATTTATAATATATATATATATATATATATATATATATATATATTGTAAAATAGTTATCAAGATCGATCGCTTAGTGCTAATTTTATTGCAAAAAAACTGATATAAAATATGTTTAAAGAAACTATGAGTATATTATATATTGATTATTTTTCGTTGTGTAGTGTGTAAAATCCGTATGTGCAATCTCGCTTATGGCCATATCACTTTGAAACACTTGTTCTCGTACAATCACCGAAGTTAAGCAACCTCATGACTTGTAAGTAACAAGATGGTTGATCGTTTGCGAAATCCAGGTGCTGTAAGCATTGTTGTGTAATTAATAATGGCTTGAAATAGTTAATCAGAGAGCCGAGTTCGAATTCTGGTTGGGCTCGTTATTTACGGGCAAATAACATTGGAAAAGGTATGAACCAAACTCTTCTCCCCACCAGCTATGGGTTAATTACTAAGATTTGTATCACTAAAACTATTATTATCAAACCGTAGAACAAGTCAGTTCGATGTTGAATTACATTTTATTTCCTTTCATTTTAGAAAATATTTGTCTTATACCAATGTGGGATTTTTGTAACGTTGTGTGGGAAATAGATATCTTTTCATAATCGCTCGGTAAAGATTTTATAACTTATTTGCAAAGTAAAGTTACTCTATTTTTCAACTCAATTAGAAAACAGAATCACGAGAAGTGAGTGTTTCGGAATTTTATTTTTGGTAATCATAAGTGCAAAGATAGAAAGTGTTTAATCGCTTAGAAAACGAGAAACGTGATACAATGCAAACATTGCTTCCGACAAATTCTTGAATATCAAATTAAACAAAGAATATGAAAACAATTTCAGTTTTCAGTCTTACCTCTTCTTACTTTCTTACTTTCTTTCTTTCTTTCTTTCTTTTTAAGTTTCTTCTTTTTTACTTTCTTTAATTCTGTATTTTTTTCTGTTTTTTTCATTCATTCTTTTTTCTTTCATTCTTTATTTCTTTCATTATCTGTCTCTCTAATTTATCTCAGAATGCTCCTTCATTCCTTAATTCATTCCTTCCTTCATTCCCTCATTCATTCCTTCCTTCCTTCATTCATTCATTCCTTTCTTCATACATTCCTTCCTTCCATCCTTCATTCATTCCATTCTTCCTTCATTCCTTCCGTCCTTCCTTCCTTCTTTCCTTCCTTCCTTCATTCCTTCCTTCTCTCCTTCTTTCATTCCTTCCTTTCTTCATTCCTTCCTTCCTTTATTCCTTCCTTCATTCCCTACTTCATTCCTTCCTTCATTCCTTTCTTCCTTAATTCATTAATTCCTTCCTTCATTCATTCCTTCATTCCTTCCTTCATTCCTTCATTCATTCCTTCATGCATTCCTTCATGCATTCCTTCCTTCATTCCTTCATTTCTTCCTTCATTCCTTCCTTCCTTCTTTCATTACATCATTTATTCCTTCCTTCCTTCATTCATTCATTCCTTCATTCATTCATTCCTTCATTCATTCATTCCTTCATTGCTTCATGCATTTCTTCATGCATTCCTTCCTTCATTCCTTCATTTTTTTCCTTCATTCCTTCATTCCTTCCTTCATGCATTCCTTCCTTCATTCCTTCATTTTTTTCTTTCATTCCTTCATTCCTTCCTTTATTCATTCCTTCCTTCTTTCATTCATTCCTTCCTTCATTCATTCCTTCCATCATATATTCCTTCCTTCGTTCCTTCAATCATTCATTCCTTCCTTCATTCCTACATTCCTTCATTCCTTCCTATCTTCATTCATTCATTCCTTCTTTCATTCCTTTCTTCATTCATTCCTTCCTTCATTCCTTCCTTCATTCCTTCCTTCATATCAGTCTATCTGTTTTCATTAAGTTTCAATCTAATTTTTTCATATTTAACATTTTCATTTCTTCACTCGAAAAAAGTGAACGTTTTTACAGACGCAAAATTGCTGTTATAAAAAAGAAAACATGATTTACCGATTCAATATAATCATTTTTTCAGACATATTATTCTATGAGAAACTTAGCAAAATTAAACTGACACTCATCAACAATAATTTCCCTAACGATGTCGTCGAGAATACCCGGATGCAGATAAAGGAATTCTAACTCCAGACACCATATCGGCTCTTGAATATGACTGCGAAGCAAAAATTCCTAAAATATGAACTTAGGACAATTTATCCAGAAATCTTTCCAGCGACACACCACAAAGAACAACAAAGGCCAACAGGAAGAGAAACATCATATAATTCAATCCACCGTACAAAAATAAAAATAAAAAAACGTAAAAATAAACATAGGAAAAATATTCATCAAACTCTTATATAAACACGTCCCAGAATCAAGCACTCCACAGAAATATTCAACAAAAAACGCAGTAAACATCAGCTACAGACGCACCAAAAACAAATAAAAAATAAGTATAACGGGAAAACTATCTATCTAATGTAAATAGGCATCAAAAATTAATCCACAAAACTTTGATTAAATTCTACTGTCAAGGTATGGCTATTCAATTTTTTATTTCTCTATTTCTATATAACGGATAGATGAATTTTATCCCGACATCAAAAGCCATTTTCTCATCCTCTACTCACATATACGGGTATCCACAAAATATGAAGTATGACAAAGTAAAATCCATCTTTTCTTTAGTAATTGTTTTGTATCCGAAAACTGAGCAGATATTGTTTCCGACAAACCCTGATCGCATGAATGTTTTTTAAAGCAAATTAAACCTTACTGGATTGCGAAGCTATCAGTAGCTGATTGGCCAAAGCACGCCACATCAGACAGAGATTTTCCCCACGCCCTGCAAAGTGGGGGAGGGCTAGGCTTTGAATCCTGCCGAAGAGCGCATATTCTTTATTAATTTTAGAGTGTCAGAACCGGCAAACTTGGCACCTTTTAAGGAAAACGCCGAAGAGTCTACTGAAATACGGGTATCTACTAAAAATAAAGTTCGAAGTTATATTATATATATATATATATATATATATATATATATATATATATATATAAATGTGTGTGTGTAACATCATCAAATATAAAAATGTATGCCAAAATGTATGGCAAATTTATTTATGGAAGATATCTATTTTTAAGATATTAAGGTATATATATATATATATATATATATATATATATATATATATATATATATATATATATATTTCGATTTAGGTGCAGTTCAATTTATAATTACATGAATCATTCATAAAAAACAATATAGAGGTTAATTTAAATCATTAACTTCTATATTTCTTTTTTGTATGAATGATTCATGTAATATATATTGTCCTTGGGTGTTGACTTCAATGTCCACTTTTATATTTACATAAGCTCTATTCCTGTTTTTGAGCACTTTAAACTTTCTTTGATCATATATACATACATATATATATATATATATATATATATATATATATATATATATATATATATATACACGTTTCATTAAATAATATAGACAAGTGTTGTCTATTTATTTTATGTAAAATTTGTTTGTAACATCTGATAAGTTTGATAACATTATCATTAAACGAAGAAAGAAATTCGCAATAATGATCCATATTTTTTTTAATATAATCTAAGCTTTCGGCTTACTTAAGCCATTATCAAAGATGCAAATCACAAAACATATTAAACAATATACGGACACGACAGTGATGATAGTCTGTCATTGTTTACATAGTTGATCACTAAGCAACGATAAACACGCGCATATAAGACGCTAGAAGCGAAAATCGCACAGCATCTCATGACGTCACACATTTTTTACATAAAATAAATAGACAACACTTGTCTATATTATTTAATGAAACGTATATAAATGAAAATATGCTGCCTAAATACACACACAATATATATATATATATATATATATATATAAAGAGAGAGAGGGAGGGAGTGTGAGAGAGAGGGAGGGAAATTAATATCCTTGGAAATGTTATAAATCCATATCTTCTCCCCAACAATCATAACTGGTCCTGGAGGAATACAACTTCAGATTTAATGTTTGATTTGTCGGCGGCGACTAAACTGTCTCCGTCACTAGATTCTGATGTGGTGGAGAGAGTGAATTGCAAACCAGCAGCACAATAAACAAGAGCAGATAATGAGCGAATCGGCTCCACAGAATCAACAGACATTCATCCAAACTATCGATTAAATAACCACGCCAACCTGCATTTGGACAAGCCTGATGAGTACCGCTACACCCCTGAAGACAATTGGAGTGAGTTGGTCCTGGAACTAGTTTTGTATTTGGTGTACTATAGTATTGTCGTCGTCGCCTTTATCTCGTATCAAATAATTTTATTTCTTTTTTCCTGATCGCCTTCTCGATGACGATTGTGTCATTGACTAAATTCACCGCGAATCTGCAGGGTCAGCACGAGAAGCTTTCAGATTCACCAAAACCTGGTCTAATAATCCATTCTCTATCGCCGTTTAGCTTTGTAAGTGCTTATGGGAGGTGAAAGAAATTATGGCTCGAGGAAAGTGCCGATGGCGTGTAACTGTTTAAGGTGGGCCTAGCCATGAAGTGACCCACACACTTGATTTCATGACCTTCCTCTGCGATACATATGTAAGGAGACATGCAGATTACAGTTAGGAAATTGTAAATGACTTACTCTGTTATAATTTCGAGTGGTGCCTTCTATAGCATGTCCGTCCTGTGTAGCCCTCGTCAACAGCTGCTTCAACCATTGAGATCTGTTGGAATCATTAAACGCTTGTTTCACCGTTGGGGTCTTTGGCGTTGATTGCGCTTAGTCTGTGTCAACGTCTTCGATGTTGCCACCAAGTGTGGCCGTACCAGAAGCTCTCAAAATCATTGTCGTGGTAGAGGCGATCTATGCAATCCACTTCACCACGACGACGAGAAGCGAACATCAGAGGTAAGCACATAGGAAACATAAAAAATAGTTATATTTTTTTACACTGGATGTTGGGGTAAATAGTTCGTTATCAATTGTTATTTTAATTACAATAATAGAAACCTAGCAATAAATAAGAAAGAATGAATGCATAAAATTATCATCAAATATATGAAAATATTTTTTATTTATGTTGGTAAATATTAAAAAGACAAATAATAAACGGGATAAATTAACAATTATGAACTATTATGAAATAGTAAAAAAAAGTAACAAAAGAATAGTAAAAAAGTAACAAAAAATAGTAAAAAAAAGTAACAAAAAATATCATTACGACTCGAAACGATTTTCCTACAAATTTTAAAATAGGACCTCGTCTATTAAAAATGTTACGTTACATAAATGTACGTTGCGTAAATGTAACTACAGTGTATA